TTATTAATCAGATCTTAAGTCGTGTTCACAGTAACAGGTCGAGTGCTCAACAAGTTGTGACGTAGGAAGTCCGTGTTAGACGATCATTAAGTATTTGAGCTTGTATTATGGCAACCTCGGTCTGTAAAGGCTGGTTTCTACGGCGTGCGACTCTACACCGAAAGGCGAACATCGCATTCCAATCTGAACACTGAAATACTAGCTAGCAACGGGTCTAACAGATAGTTATGAATTTATTTTATTTGATACAGATGTTTCTACGGTGTGTAGCGCTCTTCGGTGGGCGTCTAGTCGTGGTATCTAACACCGTTGAAACCCACCTTAAGGCAACCGTTATAATGTCTCGCCGACAACTAGAATGATTAGCGGCACGCAATTCCCTAACACCCGCCGCGCCGTCGTTTTTAAATCAGCCCCAAGGCAACCGCGACTATGCTTTTGTTGGCTGTTACAATTATACTATATGTATTATTATAATTTTACCAGAAAATAAAAGCGAACACGAATCTAGTTTTATGCTATATTTACTACGAGAAGCTATAAATAAATTTAAGTATGTAGCAGTGATTTAATAGCTTCATTTTTTCTTCTTTAATATTTTTTTTCTGTTTATTGCATATGGCTATGAGCCGTCATTGGGCTAAAAAATAAATGTACCTTTTATCCAAAGGAAGAAATTTACAAAAACCACATAGTAAAACGTGCTATGTGCCGCTGCTTACGTCACGTACTTTCAACTCAATGATTTTCTGATTCAATCAGAAAAGTGTTTCGAACTGTTTCACTACTGATTTTCCCGCCTTTTGCTCTTTTCCTTCCCTTTACTTACTTAGATTGCAATACCGGTATATTCATGTTATGTTTACTTTATATTCCTGACGTTTTGATACTAATTAAATTTAAAGAGGCAATATTTTCTCGTTTTGAAACAAGTGGCCAGTGAGTGATGAGCTACTTCTTTAACTAATGTCTCTTTTGACCTCTGTGAAATCCTGGTAGGTCCACGTGTCCAGTACAATCCAATCGTCCATAAGTACGTACGTAAATCTAATTAACTAATCTGTCAGTCTGTTTGGGCGGCTCTCCCGGACGTTTACTAAATTAGCTTACCCGCAACCTGCGCTCCTCACTAAATAAGTATGGAAGAGAGTTTATCGTATTGTTTATACAAATTCTTCTCTCCATAGAATAGTAAGTAAGTTTTAAAAACAAACAAATTCAAATAACATTAAACCATTTAATTATACGTGATATTTACGCGAATTATCTTGTTGAAACCTACAATTTATAATGAACGAGGAAAACCAAAATAATGTCAGTATTATTTCCATGTGTATATGGAGCGGTCGTTGGCACACAGTGTCGGCACTTCATTAAACCGAAAGCAAGCTGTTGCCAAATATAAAGTCAAACGAATTGCCGGAAGCTTTCCCTGCAGCGTCACCTCATGTCTCAC